TGGCCATGTGACATACGTAACAGGTGGCCAAACCATTTCATTCTGTCTTTCTATGTAATGCAGGCAGGACTCAGTGCCGATAGCTGCTCTTACTTCTTCATTTCTCTGCCTGTCTCGTCACGTGATGTTAAGGGTTCCCGTTTGGACTTCTCTGTTGACATCCACTCCTTGGCGCTCATATGACCTTATACAGTTGCGAGCGCCGTAAAACCTTACAAGACCTAAAGGGGAAAGACAGAGACACCCTGAGAGATATCCCGTCTGTGTTAGTTACTCACGTATTGTGGAATAGTAAAAGTAGAGGGATCTCTTCAGGGGGCTCTCGTGGCCTACAGGTTAAGGCGTTCGCCTCTCCTTCAAAGGTCCCGGGTTCGAATTCGGATAGAGACGGAAAATTTTATTCTCTAAAATTGTCTCCTTCCACCTTCTTTCCTTTTTTCTTGCAATATTCTGTCATCTGCTTTCGTCTCCACTTCCTTCCCCCACCCCCTCACCTCCTTTGCCCCCTCCTCCTCTGGGCTCCTGACTCTTTCTGTAGCTTTTCTACTGCTACTCCTTGTCTCCTTCTCACTGTCGTCTTTCAGCCACACCCCTGATCTTATGGTAGGAAAGATCTACACCTAGCTTTCTCGGACAAGGGGGAAAATTTGCGGAAGACTCGTGTGCAAGTTGCGCACGTTAAAGATCCCTTGGTGGTCTAAAACTGATAATAGGCTCCGGTCGCCACCCGGGCAAATTTCAAAATTATTTTCTTCCAACTGAAGTGTGTCCCGCGTGCTCATATGACCTTATGCAGTTGCGAGCGACGTAAAACACTTACAAAAAATCTGTATAAAGAAAAAGAAGTTGGTAGCGCCATCTGTTGAGCGGGTCTCCCTTACCCTCGCCCCATGTGGCGCTCTGCACACTTCTATGGCGGTTCTATCTCGCGTGCGCGTGCAGCTACTCACCCCCGCACCGCCCCGCACCGCACGCGCACGACACCGGTGTCACAGACTGTGAGTGAGGATCGATCGGCGCTGTGAGTTGTGAGTGTGCGCATGAGTGTGAGTGTGAGCGTGAGTGTGAGTGTGTGCAAGTGCATGTGAGTGTGAGTGTGCGTGTGCAAGTGCGTGTGAGTGACAGTGTGTGTGTGTGTGTGAGAGAGAGTGTGTGTGTGTGTGTGTGTGAGTGAGTGTGTGAGTGTGAGTGTGTGTGTGAGTGTGAGTGTGTGTGTGAGTGT